CTTTACCGCTTTCCTACTTTATTATATTATTTGTTAGTAATTAGGTTATGTATGGCAAGATAAAAACAAATCGATAGTTAACCCTAATCAAAGATAAGCATAACTGAAAATAAATCACTCTCACACTCGCACATCTAGGATAACCTCCCTTGTTGCCTTTCGATAAAAACAGTCATGTCCCTCGAGCGTGAGGGCGCTTTAGCAAAAGTCCCTCAAAAACAAAGATCGTAGTCCCTCTATGACCCTTTCAATGTTGCCTTCGGTAAACGATCTAGTCCCTTATGAAATTGCTAAAACGTCCCTACCAGTTGCCTTCGATGACTGTACGTGACCCACGTTTGTCCCTTCACATCTAACGATAGAGCTTCCTACTAAATAATGGTAGAATAACACTATCTAAAGAAAGAGGCAAAGTACTAGAAAGACCTTGAGTAGGTAGACCGCTCGTAATCGCTTGCTCACAAACATTTCAAAACAAAAAAAATTTCACAAACACTCTTCCAAAATATTTTCAAAAAACATCTGTACGCATTCTCGAGGACAAATACGAGAATCATTACAAAGTTGCCTTACAATTGACATTTTCGAAATATTTTTCAAGTACACATTCACAAAGCAATTTTAAAAGTGAGCTAAACGATTAAGAGCTCGTAGATAACTACGGATAAAAAGGATGCTAACACCTTTCCTTTTCATAACCTACCCCCCGAACTCAAAAATTTCGAAGATCTTTCTTGTTCTTTTCACCCTTTCCTTATTCGGATAAAAGAAAAGTCGATGGCGACTCTTGTTATCCGCACATTTGCGAGTAAACGCAAAACAAGTCAGTTCTTCCACCGCATTACACACATATATAATTGATTCTAAGAGATTTAAAAAATTACAAAAATATTCATGAATTTCCTATTTAAATTTAATATAATAAATATTATACTATAAATATTTTAAACTATATCTAAATTAAAATAATATATATTAATAAAAGTATTATAAAAAAATGAAATAGGTATACAACAAGTTTGTTTTAAAATTTATAGAATATATTTTGAAAATAAATATATCAAATAAATTTTTCTTCTTTTGATATATATATATATATATATATATATATATATATATATATATATATATATATATATATATATATATATATATATATATATATATATATATATATATATATATATATATATATATATATATATATATATATATATATATATATATATATATATATATATATATATATATATATATATATATATATATATATATATATATATATATATATATATATATATATATATATATATATATATATATATATATATATATATATATATATATATATATATATCAAATAAGTTGGGTACGCCCATAGGATATGGGGAGTTCTTCTATCAAATTTCTCTTGGAGCCATTCTACCTCTCTTTTCAATCCTCTCAACACAACTCGATTGACGACTTCTGCTTCCCCGTTGGTCTAAGGGTGCTATATCGATGTAAAATGATGCTCGATCTTCATTTCTTCAAAGAACTATTTTAGATTCTTATATGTGAATTGCATCCCGTTATTAGTCATAACAAATTGAGGGATTCCGTACCTCCCTAAGACATTGTGTTTGAAGAACTTTTGAGTGCTTTCCGCAATGATTTTTTCTAAGACTTGGTAAAATAATCTAAAACGTCAACTGCAAAGAGTTGCATAAAACATAATTAATGTAAAATAAATCAGATTAATATTATTTAGTATCCACACACACACGCACACATACGCACACGCACACACACGTGCGCACACGTGAACACACACACACACGCGCGCGCGCGCACACACACACATGCACCCTATCCACGCACACACACACATACACACACGCACATGCACACACACACACACGCCCACACATGCACACGCACACGCACACGGACACACAGGCGCACACGCGTGCTCACAGGCACACACGCACGTGCACACACCCACCCCCCACATATATAAATGATTCTAAGAGATTTAAAAAATTACAAAAAAATTCATGAATTTTTTTATTTAAATTTAATATAATAAATATTATACTATAAATATTTTAAACTATATCTAAATTAAAATAATATATATTAATAAAAGTATTATAAAAAAATAATATAGGTATACAACAAGTTTGTTTTAAAATTTATAAAATATTCTTTGAAAACAAATATATCAAATAAGTTTTTCTTCTTTTGAACTATATGAAAATTAAAATTATATATATATATATATATATATATATATATATATATATATATATATATATATATATATATATATATATATATAAAAGTATTATAAAACATATATCAAATAAGATTTTTTTTATTCTCTAAAAGATCTTTGAAAATTAACATTAGTATAAAAATTTAATTAAAATGCATTGACAGAATAAAGAAGTTTTACATTCTCAACTAATCATAGCTGTTAAATTTTTATAAATATTTAACTTTTTCTTTTATCATATATAAAACTAGCAAAATACCTGTGCGTCCGCACGGGTAAATTTATTTAGTACGATATAGATTTTATTTAGATATACATGTAAATTTGGAATGAATTATTTAATTATAAAATGAATAATGATAATATAAATTCAATTGTATTAAATAATTATAAAAAAAATTTAAAATGGAGAAAAAAAGTTTGACATTTAAAAATAAGAATTTTGTGTCTCAAATAAAGACAATTGTTAATTAAAATAAAATAGATATTTTGTTGATATTGGTCCGTGAAAAAAAAGAGAAATTTTAACAATTAAAAAATAAAAAATTTGTGTCTCAAATAAAGAAAATTTTGAATTAAAATAAAATAAGTATTTTATTGATAGTCTCCTTGGGAGAAAAAGAGAAAATTTGATATTTGAAAATAATAATTTTGTGTATTAAATAAATGCAATTTTAATTAAAATAAAATAAGTATTTTGCTATAGTGTCTCGTGAGAAAATGAGAAAATTTGACATTTGAAAATAAGAATTTTGTGTCTCAAATAAAAATATTTGTTAATTTAAATAAAATAACTATTTTGCTGATAGTGATCAGTGAGATAGAAAATTAGTTGCATGTATTCTTATATAGTATTATCTAATTTCATAAAATAAAATTTTAATTTTATATATACTATAATTATACATTTTAATATATTAAAAATAATTAAGAAAAAATAAATTATTAGATAGAAAAGATAAAATAATGAAATTAAAAGAGAAAAAAATATAAAAGAAAAATAAATTTAATTTGATTAAAAAGTAAAAGTTTAAAAAATGTCAAATAAAAACTTGACACTTGGTAGAATTTAGTTTAAATAAAGTGAATTAATTGAGAGATTAGTTTTTTACTATTTTAACTTTTTATAATTGTAATTTTTTAAAAATGAAAGATATTATTGATAGTTTATTGGTAATTCATTTTACTCCTTGCGTCCCAAATTACAAGACTGTAGTAAAACCCCTCATAATTACACATGAGAGAGAAATTAAAAGAGTTGAAAGAATAAATAATAATAAATACTTAAGGGTATATTAAGAACAAAATTATAAATGTTACATTAAAATTGTAAATTGACTTATAATTTAAGACAATTTAAGATATTATAATTTGGGACAGATAGAGTAATAGATAAATAATTGATATAAATATTTTACATTAATGTATATCAATTATTTCCGGCATAAATTAATGGATTTAATAGAGATGAACTGTGTAAAATTTTTTTGTATCTTCATCCAATAAGAATATATCATATAAATAATTTAAAATTTTTATATAAATAATTTAAAATTTTATGTATGAGTTGACATGATATATAATTGTCGTTGATTAACAATGTGTAATTAATTTACACTATTATTGTATCATTCTTTTCCTCTAAATTAATTAAAAAATTTATTTTTTTATAAAAATTTAAATATGTTTTTGGTCCTTATAAATTATCAGATTTTATTTTTGGTCCCTAGAAAAAAAACATGACATGTTTTAGTCTTTACAAAATTATTATGTACGTAGTTTTAGTCTCCGTTCTTAAATCAATGTGTATTTTTGAATGATTATTTTATAGATATTTTTAGAATGTTATAAAAAATTTCTCAGAAAAAAATTCAAAATTTAATTTATAAGTTGAGATTTTCATTACTTTTATCAATATTTTTTAAATTTTAAAAATTCATATTTAATTCTTCCTATTTTAAATTTTTTTAAAATTTGATAAAAAATATTTTATAATAATATGAAAAAATTATTTAAAATTTAAAAATTTAAGAGTAATTAAACGATTTTTAAAATTAAAAAAAATAACAAGATTAAAACTATATGAATAATTTTTTTTAAAAGACTAAAATTTATTATTTTTAATAAGAATTAAAAATAAAAATTGAAATATTTGTAAAAACAAAAAACATATTATATATAATTCTTTTATAAATAAAATAAAATAAAAATTGATATGACATTAAAGATCATTGATTGATTGATTAGATGAATATCTATTCAACCAAATTCAAAGTACCAAAACATTCACTTTTAGTTTTTTATTTAAAACCATTTTCTAAAATTAATTTATAAAATATTTTTTAAAAATAAAAATCAGAACTCATTGAAACAAACCATTTTCTTAAATTAAAAATATTTTATTTTGGTAAAAAATGTTTAAACTAAAATATGCATCAAAAGAAAATGTTTTTCTGACAGGTCTAAGGGTTTCCTCCCTTTTGTGACAAAAAATATAGGGTTTCCTCCCTACGCAGCCGCCACCACTACCACCGCCGCTTCGCCGCCACCACCACCACCACCACCACCACTACCGCTTCTCCTACCTGCATCGGAGCGCCTCCTTCAAGAACGGTAAATAAATTTATTTCTGCAAATTTAATTTCATAGATCATCGTATTTTCGTTAATTACTCGCTTGATTTCAATCGTCTAGGGTTTCAATTGTATTCAATAGGTACTGATTTCATGTAAGCACAGCTCCAATGAGTGATCCTCCAGCTAAATCGCGTGTTCAGCCGGACGCAGAGTCGCCGGTAAGCCTCCCTGATGAACTTATTACTGAAGTTCTTTCCTTCGCCGATGCGAAAACTCTAATGCAAATGAGATGCGTATCCAAGTTTTGGAATTCTATTGTTGCTGATCCTAAATTTGTGAAACTTCACTTTAAGCGATCAGCGCGAAACCCTCACCTGGCACTATTTTTGAGTAAATCTCACCTTGATGGCGATAACAATGTTGTGCCCTTCTCTGTAAGTCGGTTGGTTGAGAACCCGTTGATCACCCTTCCAAATAACCCTTATTATCGATTAAGGGACAAGGAGTGCCGCTTTGTTATTGGTTCTTGCAATGGATGGCTTTGCTTGCTTGGTTATTCTTGCCTCTCTGAATACAGACAGATCTGGTTCCGCTTCTGGAATCCTGCTACAGGTAAAATGTCCCAAAAGTTAGGGTACATGTGGGATCATATGTTGGGCCTGTATACTCATTTTAAGTTTGCGTTTGGTTATGATAATTCATCGGAGACTTATAAGATTGTGATGTCAATTTTGGATGAAGCTGCTAATAGAACTAATGTGCGAGTTTTAAGTGTGGGTGATAATGTTTGGAGGGCTATTCAAAGTTTTCCTGCTGTTTCTCTTCCTTTCCGCTATACTAATCCTGGTGTGAATGATGGTGTGTGTTTGAATGGTAGTCTTAACTGGTTAGCTCTTCGCCGTAGCTTTCTATCTGATGGTGCTTATGGTTGGAAGAGCGTCGATGTTAAACAATTTGTGATTATTTCACTTGATCTGGGGACGGAGACCTACAGGCAGTTGATTCCTCCTTTTGGTTTTGATGCATTGTCACCTGTAGAGCCATCTATATGTATATTGATGGACTGTCTTTGCTTTTCTCATGATGATAGGAGAACTCATTTTGTTATATGGAAGATGGAAGAATTTGGAGTTGAAGAGTCTTGGACTCGACTTCTTAGAATTAGTTACCAGGATCTTCAGAGTATGCATCATGACATTGTTGACTTGCAATATTCTCAATGGCTGCCATTGCACCTTTCTGATCATGCCAATACACTGATATTGGCTAACAAACAAGAAAGCCAGGCAATTCTATATAATTTAAGAGACAATAGAGCAGTGCGAACTAGAATTACCGATGAAATACAATGGTTCTGCGCTAAGGTCCACATTGAAAGCTTGTTTTCTGACATTTTGGAAGTAAGTGCCTCTTAGACTATATACTTTTTGAATTTGTGTCGAAGCATCTATTGTTTACTATTTGTTACCAATCTTTTCTATTTGATGGCTTTGGTTGATATGGTTTAGGGCCTGACATTCTTTGAATCAAATGAATTTGTTTTGTTTTTTATTTATAAGAAGCTAGATGACATTTTTAAGATCATTAGCTTGAAGGTGTTTCTTCCAAAAGGAAATTCAGTTTCTGTATTAATTTCATTTACTTCAAAACTTTGTTACAAATAATATATTGAATCGACTGATTTATTGCCTTGTTTAGAATTATGTTATCGGTAATTCGGTATGTTTTAAATGTCCATAAACAAGAATGTTTTGTAAATTAATTTATAGTATGCTTCTTGATCTGATTTTTTTTCACATCAGATCAATTATTTCCACACTAATTTAGGTATTGGAAATTATTTTACTTTTATACCTTATATGATATTGCTATACAATCAATTTTTTTATTACACAACCCATGTGTCACGGATGATATAAGCTTTCAGTCATGGCATCATGGTCAAGCTAATTTGTTTATTATTCAGAGAAAAATGAGCACATTATAGAGAAATTTGCATTTTTTTGTTGTTGTGTTTTTTTCTTTATTATTGTGTTTTGCAGTTTCACTCTCATATCTAACAGAGTAATTTTTAAATTATGGATCTACCTAGCTTCAGGCACTTCAACCCTAATTAATGGTACACACTGGGATGGTGGGAGAAAAGGAAGTAAGGAGCTTATTGGAGCTACAGTCGCATCAGTTACAGTACTCGTTTTGTACAAGTCATTTATGGCCATCTTGATGTCTTTCGTTTAGGTTTCTTCGAAAACATTTGAAGCAACTCACTGCTTAATAGTTGTTGTTTTACAACTCTACTCCTGTTTGTTTAGAAGCAGGTGAATGTCTCCAAATCTTTTTTATGACTTAAGTGCACTGTTTTCAAGATCATTTGAGTTAGGAATATTGTTGTAGTTGCTCAAGATCTAGTGATTTATGGTTGGATGTTTCTCTTCTTTGTTTCTCGTTATTTGGTTTATTTGTTACAATGTGTGTTAGAGTTTTGAATATTGGCCATGATTCTCTTGGAATCCATGGAGAAAACTGAATTGTGATTTTATCGATTGTTAGTTACACTGGATTAGATCTAGGGGTGCTGACACTTGTCAGTCAGTTCGTTACAATCTGTTAGATCTGTTCTAACTGTCCTAACTGTAACTAACAGTTGGTTACAAGGCTGTACTAGTGTACGTTAATCCTACCGTAAGCTCATGTGAGCTTACTTAATAAATTCCATAATATTACATGAGTGACTCCTTTAATAATGTGTCTCATGTTTACCCATTTAAAGTGCAAGTGTCATCTTCCATGTGATCCCAAAATATCATTTAATTTCCTTTTAGGGGAAACTATTTAGTGGCAACAAATTCATTGCCAGCAACTCACTCATTAAACAAAAGGTTTTGCGACTAACAAAAGGTAGCCAGAAAAACCCAATCGGTACATTTATTCAACAATCGGAAAACAATGAGTACACCTATCTGTACACGGAAAAGAAAAACATCTTGCTTTCGTTCAACGTAGATGCAACAGGTGTCAAAGTCCTGAGTGAGGAGAGCGAACAAGCAATTGAGAGATTCACACTTCTTCCCACGATGCTCATTATTTCATATATTGCTTCATTTTCCTCTCACTCTACTAAACAATAATCGTGATGAACAAATCATGATTTGTACTTTAAACAAAGTTTCATGATTTCTTCTTCAATTTCTTTTTCCAATTCAATAGGACTTATCGAGTCTTCATTAGATTATATGGAATGCAATTTTAGTACAATGCAAAGCATTTCTAGCTTAGAGATGAAAGTTGGAGATCATGTCATCATACTACAAGTTACGCAGTTTAAATACCTTGGGTCCACATTATCAAATAGCGAAAAAGTAGAAGTTGTAAACCATCGAATTCAAGTGGGGCGGTTGAGATAGAGAAGGGTCCCAAGTGTTTTATGTGCTACCAAAAGTATTTCTCAAGTTGAAGAAATTTTTTTATCTTATATTTGTAAAATCGGAAATATTGTATGGGACAGAGTGTTCGGCGGTAACGAACCAACTCAAAATATAATAAGTGTAGCAAAGATGAGGATAGTGTTTGGTTGTATGTCATTGATAAGACTAGACAAGACTAGGTTATAAATGATATTAGAGAGAAAGTTGAGGTAGCATCTATCATAGAAAAGATTGTGGAAACTTGGCTTAGGTTGTTGGGCTTGTTGAGACACGACCTGTAGATTTTGTAGCAAAGAGGGTAAATCAAATGGAGAGTAGTCAAATCACTAGAGGCGGAGGAAGTCCTAGAAAACTATAAGCAAAACTAATAAAAAATATCTAGAGATTAATGAGTTGGATAGAGATATGATATATGTTAGAACATTATGGCGCCGTTTCATCCGTGTATCCGATCTCACTTAGTGGTATAAGACTTGGTTGTTTATGTTTCCTCCTTTTAACATATTTAGTGCAACATTTATAGGGTTCTAATTATATATGCTAGGATAAGATTTGGGCAAAAACATAGAAAGCTGGGTTCATTTTTAACTGATGTCACTTGGATTCATTTTTCATTGATGTTAAATAAAGAAAAACCTGTAAATTATTTTGTAATGCTGAAATGTTTTCACTTTTGGCACAATTTATTTTTGAAATTGAACCTACAGAAGCATATTTCATTAGTTAGTTATTGAAGCCATTGCAATTTTTAGTGATCATGGCTGATTGGGTTTTGGGCAGTCATTCTTACTAAATTGAGTCGTGTAGGCAACATGCTAACATGTCTAAAACCATATTTATTCTTTCAATTATTCAGATTCTAATGGTGAGAAGCAACTAGCTCTGACTTGATTTTACATGAATAGTAAAGCATCATTGGTCTTCTACCAAGCTTCCGTATTGCGACGTTCCAGATTTCCCGAAGCTCTATAATATAAAGACTTTCCTTTCTCAGGTCTAATTTAGATTTATTTGTTCCAGCATTTATGCATGCTTATGTGATTGATCATATGATATTTTATGTATATTCTTTTATATCATATGCTTCTATGCATTATACATATGGTTGATTAGTTACCAATTCTTTTATAAAATCTTCTTGAATGTATAATACCAAATTTGCTCTCTATTTATAGAACTCTAGCTAACTAAGTAGTTACATAACGGTGTAACATAACTCATCATTTTATTGGTGATATGATATTCCGCCTTTAAACCCTATTAGTTTTTATCCAATATATGCAGTTGATCTCAATTACTTAAGCGGTAAGCAATTAACTTTTCAATTCCCACCAGAAAATCAGCCGCAACATTTTAAAATTGCATCAAATTTTATTCCAATTAGATTACTCCAGTATTGTCGATGGCGGAGAGCCCAAATCCCACCATACCGGCCGCTTTGCAGCGCTGTTATAGCGGATTATGGTGGAAAAACCCACTATATCGGCCGATATTTACCCTTGTGGCAAGGCCAAAAACCGCCATGTATATCCAACATAGCAGCCATGGCGCCGCAATTTGATAACACTGACTCTTATGGAAATTCACTTCTAACTGAAATTGGAAAGCCGAATCTGAATATATCTAGATCTTATTCTCCTCACAATTTGGTTTATTCTCGTCACAAGTTGATCTACGAAATTGGAAAGCCGAATTTGATTATATTGAAAAATACGCATCAGTGCTCTTACTCCGATTTAGTTTTCTCGTCCTCCTATAATAAAGGACAAAGCAATGAATGACTTATTAACAGCCTAAAATGATTTGACAGTAAAAGTGATATTATATTTCAACAGACCGAAATCAAATCAAAGCTTCTTAAAATATCTTTTAAATTCTAAAATTTTGCAGTTCCCTTTTCCAATAACCATTGGATTATTAGAGTTTTAGAGATCTATGTACTCAACAGCGTGCTATAGCAGTAGAAAATGGCCACTATTGGGAGTTGGAAAGGAGTGGCTTGCTATAGCGGCTATCAGTGTCAGAGAATGGGCTAGTTATATGAGGGGGTCAAAATATGCATAGATATAATTACAGCATTTATAGCAATGATGATTAGAATTTTGTGTTGGCATAGTGGTTATGACCCTTTGTTTTCCCTTCAAGTATCGGAGTTCAAACCTAAGTATTTCCATTTCGATAGAGTATTTATTCTTGGAAAAGGAAAATTAAAAGATGCAAAACCAAGATCACCGGGGTTCGATCACGTGTCGTCATAGTTCATAAGTGTCCTCGACCACTACGGCAAAGCGAGTATTTTATCATATAACACGAATAGTATAGTATATATACTCTGGGGGTGCCATGACCATCCCTTGTCCCAACAAAGCTCTGCCACTGGAGGCTGTAGTGTCCACTATGCGACCAATATTGCAGATGTTTGCGGCTGCTAAATGCTTCCAAAAGAAAAACATTGTTTTATTAGCCATTTTTTGAATTTGAAATGTTAGTGGTAATTTGTCAGAGGAAGGGGAAATTTGTTAGTAGTAGGGATCGAACTCTGGACCTCCTATATAATAAACCTTTGGTAGTTGCGTTAAACCTCTGATGCTTAACCTTGTTTTCTTTTTACTTTTGGTATAAACATTTTTTTTCAGTCCATTTTGTTATTTACATTCATGTTTTGCATAAGATCTATGAATTTAATTATTTCTAATCTATGAATTTTCATGAATTGAGATTGTTTTAATCTTTCAGCATTTATTTATACAGTATTAATTATTTATTATGTTTAAGAAATTCCGAATAGCTGTCATCTCCCAATAGTTTTTATAAGACTAGTTGCAATGCACTGCTATCCGGAATTCATAATCACAATAGAGATGTCAAATAACAAATTCATTCTCTTTTCGTATGAACCTTCAGTTGTGTTGAAAAAAAAAGAATGAAGCTAGGTATCATATATTCCAAAGCTGATTATAGGAAAAGCTAAAAAGTTAGCCAAACTCCATCTTGTTTACCATTGAATTTTGGAGCTTGTAAATTTGATTTCTTATGCCATCCAAACAGATCTAAAGGAAAATAACTGCTAGTATTTCAAAAAGTTTGATTTTTTTTTTACTTTTCTATCAATTAACTTTGTGATCACGTCGTAATTAATTATAAAAATCTAAAAACTTCACTTTTGGTAACTAAACTTTTTTTTTGTTACTTTCTCGTCATTTTGGCAGGAACCTGTGCTCTTTCAAGTTTACGTTTGATTATAATAATTCATCAGACACTTGGAACATGGTGGTCTGTGGCGTTAAACTTCCTTGGTCACATTAAAGCTCAAGTGAGAACCGGAGTGAGAGCTTTCAGTTTGGGTGACAATGCTTTGATAAATATTATTAGTTTTCTCTTGGTCTATTCAGTAGCACTATATTTGTCCGCGGGTGGCTGGTGGTGTGTATTTGATGGACGCTCTTAACTGGTTGGCCATTTACAATAATTGCAGGTATGATTAGAAATTAAAATATTATTACTGTTGAGCAATTTGTGATTATTTTGTTGGTTTGGGAACGGAGAAACTATTAGGATATACTATATAATATTGGGTATTATAGTAGGTAGAAGTTAGTAAGTTGATAAGTTTGTTAGGAGTTGTTACTTTGGTTATTCTTAGAAAGTCTTTGAATAATTAAATTGTGACTAGAGAAGTATTTAGTGTGAAAGGAGTGTGAGTGCACTTTTGAGTCGTTTTGTGTGCAAGACTATCTTCTTCATTGTAAACTTGTTGTATCTTCTCTTTGAATCTCACTACACGAATACCGAATAAGAAGTTCTTTAGCTCTTCGCAATCTTTTTCTTTAGTTATTTGAGTTTGTTTTACCCATTCCTCTAATCTTGAATATTAGAATTCTCGGGTTCCTAACAGGAACACAGTAAGTAGCTTGCCCTTTGATACTTTGGTGAAGTGCTACTTGTTGAGTCAAATGTTGCTCTTTTCATGAGCTGTCTCTGTTTTTCTCATAATTTGATGATAGCCAATTTTGTTGATGATAGCCAATTTTGTCATGTAACAGATGACGAAATTTGGAGTTGAGAAGTCTTAGACTCAAGGGTTGTCAATGAACTTTTCTGAGAATGGAGATACATTGATATTGGCAAACAATCTAGAAGACCAATCAAGTCTCTATGATTGAAAAGTAAATAGAGTAGCGAGAACTATACTTACTAATATAATATGTTGGCTCCTTTCTAAGCATCGTGTTCATACCTTGGTTTCTACTTTCTGAAAGTAAGTTCCTTCTTCATTTTACTTGTTTGGAATTGTATTTTTCATGTATATGTTGTTTAATAGTGTGCGTGATCTTTTTTTTATGGCTTTGGTTGATTACATTGTTGAATGATTATCTAATGGCTGTTATTAAATATCAGCTGTAGTGGCTGCCGATGCTATCGCTCAGTGGCTTTTGAACAAACCGCTACTATTCCACGATACTCCACGATACACTAACTATTACAAAGTATTGTCAAATACATCTCATCTATATAGCACGGCTGCGTAGTGGAATTTGAATAAACCACTACTTTGCACTATCCACAATTGAAAGTGCCATAAGCAGTTTTCATAAATTCTCTCAAACTGTCTCGTTTCCCAAAACTTATGTCAGTAGATAATTCTTCATGCATATTAGTACCCTTTTGTGGTTTTCACAATATTTAGATTTCTAACCATTTATTTCAAAACTTTTCTATTTGGCAGAACTTGAATGCTCACTTATAGTCCATATGAAGATTGAAATCTGTAATCATGGAATAGTTTTGTTGGAGCTTCTCACTGGAAAGTTGCCTTATGTTAAGAGTTTGAAGGATCTATCTGAAGTTGTTTTCTTCTGTAATGTCGGTGTTCTATTGCGTTCCCATTCTTGGTCACAGGCGCAGCTGCATCAAATGAGTTTAGTTCAACAAAACCAAAGATTTTGAACCTGATACTTGAAACTGGTTTGAGTAAAGAGGAGAAACCAATAACTAACAAGGTATCACCAAAGATTGTTGTTACAAAGTGATCCTATCCTATTATACTATTTAGAATTTAGATATCTATGTATCTTTTAAGCATAAAGTTGTCTTTCGCAAATTGATATATATTGGCATGTGTATGTGTTTCGAAATTTTGTTGAAGGTAGATACTCTATATATCGAGCCTACGTTCGGAGTGGCCTTGTTGTTTTTTAGTAAAATGTTGATATTAGATTAGAATGAAACTATCCTGTTGCATAAATGTGGCGACAAAGAGTGATGTAATAGTTTTTTTAATAATATATTGATATTAGTTTAGTATGTAATTATCACGTTTTATAAATGTTGATATTACATTTAGTACACTAGGACTTGTTAAGTAAACTTGCCGATAACATGTGGGTAATATATGTTGATATTAGTTTAGTGTGAGGTTATCTCGTTAAGTAAACGTGTCGGTCGACAGGGAATCGCTCTTTTTTATTAATATATCCGTTGCCGCCCTTTTATATTAATATATTGATATTAGTTCAGTTTGAAACTATCTCATTTCATAAGTGTCGATATTATTAGATTTAGTGTGCACCGGGATATGATGTTGACGCTTTTTTTTTTATTAACATGTTGATATTGGATTTAGTATGGAACCATCCTGTTTCATAAATGTTGTTATTTAATTTAGTATGTCTTGAAATTAGATTTAATATAGAACTATTCCCGTTATATAAATGTTGATATTAGATTTAGTATGTAACCATCTCGTTTAATAAATGTATTAAAAAAATCGACTTTTTGTTAAAAAGTAATAATATTATAATGTAAATGTTAAAATAAAGATGAATATGATGAAGAAAATGTTTTGCAATTTTTTATAGTCACATTGTTTGTTCCGCATCTGTCTTACCTAAAATACAATAATATCTTTAAATCGTAATTATTCTAAACATTTGTACTAAAAAAAATATAGTTAATAAAAGTATAAGTTAGTTAATGTAAATTTTTATAGAAAAATCAAATTTTTATTTTATATATCAATAACAAGTTTTAGTTTACTATTTCAAACTTTTCTGTTTCATAAATGTGTTTTCGATTTTCTGTGCTTGAATTATCTTATACCTTAAAGACACTTTTTAAATTTATTTTATGTATGAAAGACAAATATATTTTGTAATTTGTGAATTAATGAAAAATAATTGATACTTCAAAAATTATTTTCTTTTTCTGAATAATCAATGACATTAATATATTTTAAAAAATACAATAAAATGGAATCTAATGCATTTAACTTTGATGAGATTGAAGTGGTTGTCTCTATGTGGTGGGAATAAAAATCTCGTGTTTGATGGATTTAATTTCTCCTTTTTAAAGATGTTTTGGTACTTTATGAGATCTGATGTGGGATTATGTTTGACGAGTTTTATCGATTTGTATCTTTCCCTCACAACTTCTCCTCGTTTTTGTGACCATTGTTCTCAAAGTCAAAAATCATGTTTCCTTAGGTGATTTAGACCCACCTCCCCTGTTAATTCTCTCTATAAGTTGATCGTCAAAGTTTTGGCTAAGAGTTTGAGAGCGGTTATGGATAAGTTTATTAGTCCAAATCATTCAGCCTTCCTCAAAGGTAGAATGTTGATTGATAATGTTGCAGTTGTTAATGAGGTGATCGGTCTGGCAAAGAGATCTAAGAAGTAATGTCTCATTTTTAAAGTTAATTTTGAGAAAGCGGATGATTTAGTAAGTTGGAGCTTTATGGACTATATGCCTATCAGATTCGGTTTTAATGATAAGAGGACATCTTGGATTAAAGTCCGTGTTTTCTATGGAAATATCACAGTCCTGGTTGATGGTTCTCTAACTCCTGAAATCAAGATCCAAAGAGGGTTGAAACAAGGAAACTACCCAGCTCATTTCCTTTTCCTCCCCGTGGCAGAATTACTTAGTGGTTTGATTCATTGAGCTATAGTTCTTAATCTCCTATCTGATTTTAAAGTTGGTTTTGTAACACCCTAATTCTACCCGGCAATTATATATGTAAATCAAAATCATAAAATTCATGCAACTAAATCAGGATGCCACAAATTCAAATTCTAAAAACACATTGCATTCAACGTGGATACATAACACTTTAAAACTTCGGATGAACTATCAGCATAATAATTTAATCTCTTAATTCAACAATTTAAACATCTACACAGCGAAATCATAATAACATCTTTGTCCAATAACTTCAAAATAATGCATAATTAACAACAAACAAAGTTAAAGTTCAACAACTTAAATAATAACTAAAGGCAACAAACGTTCATCCCCCCGAGTGTTACGTATCAGAGCAATGACACCGACTCAAACTACTGAAGATATACAACATTCACTCTGGATTACCTGCACGTTACCAACGTAAGGGTAACATTCAAACAGAAGGGGTGATATATCTAACAATATAATAAAGCGTATGATATATAATATATTAAATTAGATCACATAACATCACCATTTCTCATCTTATAAACAACAATAATCGCAACAGAAATACCAACGATAATACACATTCACCACATCAATACACATCTTCTTTATGCAATCATATAATACAACTCAATACTATGCAAATGCACGTGGTACCATTGGAGCAGAACTCCCATCTCAAAATAATTGCCAATAAATAGAGGCATAAACAAGACATAAGCCTTCATCTTAATATTCGCTAATACATGCCATCTTAACGAGCATAAGCTCCATTTTGAAATGCAATGTATGCGACACAATCATGAATGTAATGACAACACCATAATTATCAACATCTCAATCACAACATCATCGTTGGCCAGAAGCCTATATTTTAATAGCTGCCAATTATTAGAGGCACCTCAACATCTTTCATCAACATCATTTATCAACATAATTCATCAAACATCATTTATCGTCATAATTCATCAAACATCATTTATCATCACAATTCATCAAACAACATTTATCATCATAATTCACAGCAACTCAGTCACAACAACAATACAACGGTAGATCGACAATCCCGCAATGTTAGCCATAGGCCTACAACATGATATTGCCTATAATTAATTAATCATCTAAGGCTTACCTCTAAATTACCCAACCTCTACATATTATTAATTCTGTAATACTACATCATTATCATCATTAATCTTACTGTTATGAACCAAACAGTAATCTATAATCATCTCATCCTCATCATTCTTCACAAAATCATCATAGAGATTAACGCGGGAAGCTAACTCTAGTCCTAAATTGAGTTACTAGGATTATCCTTCCTATTACTCATTTTAATCCTTAAGAATGAAATTCATCGCATTAGCTATCCAACACTTCAAACGACACCTCAAACGGAGTCCAGAAACTCAAGTTACAGCCTCTAGAAATGATTCTGTCAAAAACTAGACTACATGGATCGACACGTAATGTCTTGAGTCGACGCATACTGGGCTTAACACGCTACATGAGTCGACGCGTACTCCCTTTGTATCGACTCATACTGAATCTGCAACACTGCATGTATCGTTACATGGTCCTATGTATCGACTCATCCTGAGTCTAAAAGCCTGCATGTATCGACGCATGGCTCCTTCGTATCGACTCATCTTGAGTCTAAAAGCCTGCATGTATCGACGCATGGCTCCTTCGTATCGACTCATCCTGAGTCTAAAAGCCTTCATGCATCGACGCATGACTTTTGGGGTCGACACATACTGTTCTGTCACGAATATTTTCTGCGATTGCATTGCGTTTCCACTACGGTTTCCATGCTCTAGGCCCTAAAAACATCTTCTAATCATAGGTAATCATCAATTATAATAATCATATGTATCTAGATCAATTATACAGCATTAGGGCATCATCATTCATCCTTAAATCATCGATTTTCCTCAAACAACTATGTATATAATTTAATCATAAACCAAACAATCTTTCACATCTAATCCCACATAACAATCATTATAAACCCTATTATAGAGTCTGAACTCCATCCTTACCTTGGATTTCTAAGATTCTTTTCCCGATTGAATTCTGTTTTGCTCTTTTCCTTCTTTTCTGCAACTTTCACGTTCTCTTCAAATCCTTATTCCTTCTCTTCTTACAGCTTCTTCTTTTCTTATTATTAATCTAAAAACTAATATAATAACCCTACAATTCTTATTATGCCTAAATGGGCTTAAGACTCCTACACCCCCTTTTTCTACTTCTATCCTGTAAAACAAGCCCACAACACATAGTATTATCATTCTAATATTATTCCACAACTTAATAGAATAAATAAATCCAATAACTATAATACGTCAACTATCATCATAACACAACTTCACAAATATTCCAAAAATAATTTAATTAAATAATTAATTAAATTACGGGCGTTACAACTCTCCCCCATTTAGAATATTTTTGTCCTCGAAAATTTACCTTAATCAAACAACTCAAGATATGAGTCTCGCATCTTGCTCTCCAACTCCCAAGTCATGATTTCTCCGGCAGCTCCTAGCCAAACCACTTTAACCAAAGCAATCTCCTTGCCCCTCGGAGTCTTTACTTCATGATTCGCGATCCGTACAGGCATCGTCTCCACCATAAAATTATCCCGTACTTGTACATCATCCATATGAATCACATGAGATGGATCTGAAATATACTTTCGGAGTTATGACACATGAAACACATCATGCAAATTCGAAAGATTAGGTGGTAAAGCCACTCTATAAGCCATATTCCCCACTCTCTCCGAAATATGATATGGTCCAATAAAACGGGAAGTGAGCTCCTTAGACTTTAATGCTCGCCCAACACCAGTCACAGGTGTGACTCTCAAAAACTCATGGTCACTCGCTTGAAATTCTAAATCTTTCCTTCGCTTGTCATGATAACTCTTCTGTCTACTTTGGGAAGCTTTCATCTTTTCTCGAATTAACTTCACCTTCTCAGCAGTCTCACATACAAGT